CCAGTAGAATCTTCCTGCCTATTCGTGGCAGCCAGCTATTGGCTCTCACTCTGGCAAGTAGAAAATGGCCGTAAACTACATGAAAACTGCCATAGAAGCATGAAAAAATTGATTATTTCCACTATTGATAGGAGTTGGGAAATGCAACGTCAGTCTTGGCCTTCCCACTAACTTGGAGCATGTGCATGTAAATTTTGATGCAAATCCGTCGAAAATTGCGGCCATGCATTCGTTATACACACACACATCCTGCCTTTTATAGATAGAGATAATGTCCCTATAGTTTTCAATGAGATGGTTGACTTTGGTGCTCACTAGCTAAGGTGCTTACTCTAGGCTCCATACTGCTTAGAAGTAATCATAGATATCCTTGTTTTGTAATTTGCAGGTGATTTCTTTGTTTAGTTAGAAGCTGAATGTAATGACAAATGTACACAGGTGTAGGCTTTAAGAAAGCTTTATTCAACTGAAAATACAAGCTTTGTGTATAGTGTCCTTTTATAGTCCCAGTAAACAGAAATAGTTCTCTCAAAGAGGAGAGTAATAAAACAAGAGGAGACCACTCTTGATTATTCATAACACTGTGTAACTGCATTGAAACCCCATTCAGTCATATAGGAAGTTGCAAAAGCAATGAAGAAATGTTTGATAGCTTCCTACAGCTTTCGATACATTTTAAAAATTTTTTTCGCAGCCAATATTGAGTAATTTTTGAAAATTTGGAAAAAAAAATGGATAAATGCCCACCACTCCCTGAGTACGTTCACCACTCCCCAAACGAAATAAAAACTCCCAAAGCTATCTTTCAACATAACAGAGCCCACAAGGGGGTGCTAGCACCAATGTTGGGAAACACTGGTCTAAGGAAAGGAAAACCCTCAACAGAAAATCAACTCTTCTTCAGAGTACAAAGGTTGAGCGTGGAGCCAATCAGCACACGCCATGAAGCAATCTGATTACAGAATCTTCACTCGAGGCCTTATGTATCACAGGGTGCCAGGCAAGTAGCATAGTATAGTATAGTACATACATAGTATAGTATAGTACATACATAGTATAGCATATAATTTCTCTACAAATGTTAAATTCATCATAGTTTGGCTCATGGTCAAATGATGTGGAATAGATCAAGGGAAGAATATTGTTTTCTTAATCTTCCATGTGAGGATTTCCTGTCTACTTTGAAAATTATCATTAAAAAAATCCTGGCTTTTGCCTGGATTTAAATGCTGGACATCAGTGCAATGTTTTCCATGTGGTTGATGGTATTGCTACCTTGAAAATCAAAAAATCAATGATATGGAACAAAGCTTTTTTTTTATTCAATTCATTTCACCCTAAACAAGACAATAAAGCCACTAAGACACAAGGGGTTACTGAATATAGGTGAATATAAGAAAAAGAAAACATTAAAAACAGAATATAATAACTGTCTATATTTCTGAGATAAGGTATTGTAACTGTTATGATGTTGATTTGGGGTTAGTAGAGACAAACGCCAAATAACAAGTATCAATAAAAAGGGTTTTAATAAGTTAGTAAAAAGGTACAGAAATCGCCTGAGTAGTCAATAACTAGCTCAGCTAAGAACTTCTCTGTCTATCTGTCTCTTTACATGCCACTATTTAAAGTCTTTGTTCGCAGACAAGTTCATCTTCAAGAGGGGTGGTAGGTTTCACAACAGTAACTATTTAAATTATTTACATTGTTCAGACTGTTGTCCTGATCTTTATTGTCACATTCACAATGTTTCAGACTTTGTATGCTCCAACCTTTCTCAGGTGATATACATGGCCCAGTGGATAAACACATTGGTTGGAGTAATTCAATGGCTTAACCGAAAGAGTTGTGAGTCCAATACCTGGACATAGCATTGGTGAACAAAATCTTGGAGAGTTGAATTACTAGTGGAAAATAACTGAAACTGAGATATGCAGAAAAGGCATGGCATGTGGAACTAGAACAATCTACCTTAGTGGATAAAACAAAGGGTTCAGTTTGAAATTCCAACATATCTCCCCTGAAAAAGGTCAGAGTATACAATGGCCAAAATGTCATGAATATGACAATAAAGATGAGGACAACAGTCTGAACAATGTAAATAGAGTACAATAAAAGAAATAAAAGAACGAGAATTAAGAAGACAGAAGATAACGATTGACATTGCATTTAAATTTTTGAAGATCAAAATTGATTGGAAAGCAAGAAGCCAGAAGTGAGTTCCACAAGCAAGAAAAATGGTTGTAAGTACTTGACTCCTGCTATCCTCTACCTTTATAAGAGCCAGATCAAGCTGAAAATGGAGTATGGCTGTTATATATAAGCAGGAGTTACTTAGTCTTCATTTTCCAGTCTCAATAGAGTCCATAATTGTCTATACAGCTTTGTGGGTGATGAATTTTTTACACCTGTTTCCTAAAGATGAAATATTGCAAGCCTCTCACTATTTCCATGGAAAGTCTTCAGACAAACTACATTCCTTAGGTCTATCACTTGTAACCTTTGCAGCTAAGACCCACCATGCCACACCTATTGTAGTGGACTACTCTCATTCCCTTTGTACTCCATTGGTGAAATGTAAGTTCCACTCAAACAATTTTTTTTCCATGAACTGCTACTTTGTGGAATCAACTCCCAAGAGGATGCTTCCCTAATCATGACAATCTTAATCTGTTCAAGTCTAGAGTTAACCATTATCTTTCCCACATATCCTCATAAACTTTGCCACTTACTTCTTACTCTATCTTGAGTGGATCTTAGGCATTCTACAGCATGAAAATTATTGTAAAAAACTCTGACACTTGATGACGGAAGGAATCATATACTTTTTGAAGTGGGTCATTAAGTGGATTGACAAGTGTAACATTGCAGCTCAAACTAGACCCATGGTTCATTTTCAGGATGCGGTTTCTTCCAGTCAAATGCTTATGGCTTAGAAAATAACTCTTTGGCCAGATCATTACCCATGAGATAAAACCATGAGCCAATTGTAGCAGTAAGCAAATTTTATTTGGTTGTAACCCTCTGCTGTAGATGAGCAAGGCAGAGGTGAGGTTTAGTTGAGGGGCAAACCATCTAACAAGCATGTCTTCCTTTTCATGTTACAATGAGCAGTTCTTTTCTCTCTCTGTGCTTGTCTGTGGGTCTCTCTTTTTGTTGTTAGGAGCCACTGTCTTATAGAAAACATCATTCTTTATCTTGTTATTTCTCTAAAAAAAGTAATTCATCAAGAAACCATGTTCTGGCTTTGCTTAGTGACCATCTTTGTCAGGTTAATTTGACCTGGTTCTTGGGAAGTCCACTCCATTAAGCTGACCTTCTTTGCCAAGATAATAACTGTCAAAACAATTTGTGTAACACCTTTCAAGTGTTTTCCTTTAACAAGATATTGGCTAACACTGATATTGCTACACAAGGTGATTATATTGAAAAAAAATATTTGTGTGCAATAAATGCTTTTTTTCTTGTTTAGACTATGGACTTATTGATGTAACTATGTACCAAATATACACACCTCAGCTTTTATTTTCTAGTCTTGATAGAGTTCTGATATATCCTGGAAAGGGACATATTTGTTCGAAGTAGCAAAGTGGTTTTGGACTACTGTAACCGAGTAGGACAATCTAGCAGGTAACTGTAATGGACAGGTCCTTGTCGTAGTGGTAGGCAATAGGCATAGGCAATAGGCAAAGACTATAGGCGTAGCCAATAGGCTTCATCCTGTACCTCCACATCAGTCTGTATTTATGGCTGACACCAGTCAATCATATTACTGTGAGGGGGAACCCAAGTGTATGCATATTTATTACATCAAGTTCCAAAAGATTCCTTGTGAGTGATGAATTATTTTCCACCTACTATCGCTTTCCCACAGGCAAAATGTTGCAAGCCTCTCACTACTCTATTACTATTTCCAAGCTATATTCCTTAGTTACACCAATTCTAACCCTCACAGCTAAACCTACTATACCACATACATGTAAACCATCTTCATTCCCTTTGTATTTCATTAGTATGAAAGAAGTTCCATTTGAACAGCTTCTTCCTATAAACTGCTACTTTGTTAAAATGAAGCTTTATCTTTTCCACATATCCTCATAAACTGCATTTTTTACCTTACCACTCATATAACAACCTCCTTCAGTAACCTTGAGTAGATCTTGAGCCTTATCTTAGAATATCAGTTTATTAATTCCAAAATTTAAATTCTAATTTATAATTTATGACTATTCAAATAAATGACCCTGGACAAACATGAAGCTAGCTAGGAACTGTTCAACATCAAATAAATCTGGAATAATACAAGAATAAACACAAAAGTTTATCCCTCGTTTCCTGCTTAGTATTGAGTTTCTGGTTCCTTCAGAAGATTACGTGTATATTTCTAATGTCTTAAATTTGGACTTTATTATTTACTAATTTTTTTTTCTCTGTCCTCAATTTAGTAGATAGATTCATCTATCATTCAGTGTACACTCCTCCCTAGTTTTTCAACAGGAGTAGCAGTTTGTCTCTTGTTTCCTGTTTAGGATCAGGTTTCTAGATCAGGATTCAGCTCCTCCTAAAATCTTTTCCTTCTCTTTCATGGATCAGCCACCTTGTACTCACAAAAAAGAAAAACAGTAATCTCAGAATATATTTGAACCCCAGTGAATTGAACGAAGCACTTATGCAGGAGTGCTTTACAATACCCATTCTGGATGATGTGCTCCATGATATGAGAGATGTCAAGATATTTACAAAAGCAGACCTGTCCCAAGGTTATTGGCATGTCAAGCTTGATGAAGCTTCAAGTGACCTGGCCACATTCCAATCAAGCTTTGGATGATACCACAGGTGTCAATTGCTCCTTTGGCTTAAACTCTGCAGCTGAGATCTCTCAGAAGAAAATAATGGAGCAATTCCAAGACATGGAGGAAATTGTAGTTATTGTCAATGACTTGATGGTATTCAGCAAGAGCAGAGCATGACAAGCATCTTTGTGCACTGCAAGAAAGAAATTATAAAGTAGGAGTGAAGCTGAACCCTGAAAAGCTTGAAATGGGCCTAGATGCTATCACCTTCATGAGACCCCACATCACAAAAGAAGGCATTGTTGTGGACTCAGAAAAGGCAAAAGCAATTAGAGATATGGCTGCCCAAGACCCTGTAGAAGGTTTCTAGGCATAGTAAAGTAATTATCGGAGGCATGGTGGAGTTATGGATAGTGGCTCAGATTTGGGAATCGGAGAGTCAAGTTTGGATTCCAGCCTGTTATATTCTGTGCTAATAAGAATAAGGAATGGACAAACACGGTGGATAAATAGTAACAAGTTTATTGTAGAAACCAGTAAACCAAGCAAGGAAATAATAGTTATGCACACGGTCATCGCAAGTCAGTACAGTTGAGTGCATGCTGTTATCGGAAGGTCGCTAGTCTCGCAGATTCCAGCTTCACTTTCTCGTCCACCATCTTCATGAATACATATAGGTGGTTACCACCTATAGTGTCGCCACTCATGGGAGTGTCAGGTTTTTCCATCACATCACAGTCAAATCCATTACATTCACTTATGTGCTAATACCCTTGGGAAAGGTATGATTCCTCTTCTTCTCTCACCAGCTATGGGTAAGTAGCAGGAGAAACCAGGTTCTATAGCCTTGGATGGCAACTGGTCTACTGCAGAAAGAAATGGCAACTTACTGCAGGAAAATATCTGCTTTGTCAGTCATGTATTGAAAGATACATGATTGCCTAAGTGTGTATCATGCATGATACATAACTGAACTGAAATTATGTGGCAAAATTTATCCCAAACCTAACCACAATCTTCAAGCCCCACTGGGATCTAACGAGGAAAGACACTTCATGGATGTGGTCAAACTCCCAGAAAATCACCTTTGACATGGTGAAGTACATGATTACAATTGCACCTGTACTAGCCTACTATAACCCGCTCAAAGGGATGACATGTGAAAATTATACCTGTGAGTGTGTCTTAGGTGCAGTCCTCAAATGGGATATTAAACATATGCAAGCTGTTCCCTCTCAGACACAGAACAGTGTTATGCACAGATAGAGAAGGAAATGCTTGCAGCAGTCTATGGACTGGAAAAGTTTCACCACTAAACCCACAGAAAGAAAGTGAATGTTATAATAAACCACAAGCCATTAGTCTCGATATGCCAAAAACCTCTGATGTGAGCACCAAAATGCCTCCAGAATCTTCTGTTGTGAGCACAGCACTACAACTCTGAAATAAGATACAAACCATGAAAAAGAGATTCCAGTGGTAGATGCACTCTCATTGGCAACAATAGATAAGCATAAGGCAGAACTCTTGACAATGAACAATCTCAAACTACAATCCATACCACAGATGTAAGGCCTGGAAATAAGAGATGTAGCTGAAATTATTGCCAGAGGATGGCCTGACAACAAGAGAGTGTTATCAGATTCCTTGAAGTCATTCTTTGATTACAGAGACAAACTCACAGCACAGGATAGCCTGATACTATGAGGGCAGAACTGTCATGCCTCTTGCTATGCATCACGAAATTAAGCAAAAGGCACATACTTGAGATCTAGGTACCAACTCCTGTTTCAGACAAACAAGGGATCTGATATTTTAGCCTGGCATATCCAAGGAAATTCAGTGGTATATAGAAGCCTGTGCAATGTATGCAGATTGCCATCCAGTAGACCTCAGGTAACCACAACAGTACCATGAAGGTGATGGAAACAAGTCACAGATGATCTCCTTATGAAGTGGAAAGGAGTATCTGGTCACAGTAGATTTCTTCTACATTTTATCTGTAGTTGAAGGCATACAATTGTGTTCAAAATATATTTAGATGAAGCCATAAGATTGTTTGCAAAATATTTAGTTTTCAACATTAAATAACCTATAGAAGTTGATATACCGCTAAACAAAATCAGCCAACCAACATAAAAGAACTCTTTCATGACATTAATTCATATATCCTACAATTTCTTCTTTCAGTCACTGCCTCAGTTAATCATGTTCACAAAAACATGTATATACACAAAAGCTGAGTATTATCTACCATGTATTCAATTGTGAAAGCAGAATAACATACATCATATTTTTATTACTTCAGAGCTCCCAAGAAAATTAAATTTCAGCATTAAATGACCCATAAGAAGTTGATATGCAAATCAAATCAAATCAGAGACAAAACTCAGGCTGCATTACCCATACTCTATAGAGGAAGCATGGAAAAAAACAAGAAAAAAGGCTGAGGTAATATGATACAGGCAAGGGGCTAAAAAAACTCAAAATAGGGGACAATGTCCATGTTCAGCTCTCAGAAGCTCACATGAGAGAATGGAGGGAAGCTACAGTCTCAAAATAACTGACTAGCTGGTCATTTGAAATTATAACAGAAAATGGAAAAATAAACAGACACAACAGAGGTTTCCTGTGTCAAAAACCTTGCTTCACCCAATCATTCTCACAAGAACAACATCCTACACCAGTGAAGGAATTGGATCAAAAGTATGAGAAGAACCTGATACCACAGGATGGAGCTAACATTTTTTTTTTTTTAAGCGTTTCACCCCAACCAAGGCGGGAAGTCACTAGGACGCAAGGGGTTACAGAAAATTTGGAGCAAGATCAGATAGGAGTGATAGAAGAAAGGATGAGGAGAAGGGTAGTGGATAGATCAAGGCAACTGGAGATGTCGATTGACATTACATTTGAATAGCTGGAGATTATAGCTCTCAGGGAAACTGGAATAGGGAAGGGAGTTCCATGGGCGAGAGGTGCGAGACATGAAGCTATTGGAGTAGAAGAGATGGCTACATTTAGGAGTTTTGACAGTGATAGGGTGAGAGTGGGATGCCAGCCTCGTAGGGTGCTTGAATTCATGAAATCTGGGAACCAGCGAATACAGTTCCTCGGAGCAATTGCCATGAAAGTATTTGTAAAACAGACAGAGAGAGGCGACAGCGCGTCTGTGAGAAAGTGACTGTAGATGAGATGCCAGATCAGGGCCAATTATATTGTATATCATAGATGAGAATGAAGCAATCCTTGAAAAAAAGCAATGGACAAGCAACAGACATATTCAGGTTAAATTATTAAAAAAAAACAGCTCACTACAGTGATTAACAAGAGCATTTGGGACATGCTAAGTTTCATACATAATCTGATTTAGAGCAATATTTTTCTTTATCCCTCCTTCTACACACACACACACAAAAAGAAAAAAAAGAGAACAAATTAAAGGTAAACACCCTAAAAAGATAAAATGAGGGAGTCATTATATGTAATCCCCTAGTTGCCCTCCACTTTTACCCTAAGGAACTGTCCGACTAGAAAAAGGACTCCACTTCCTATAATGGAAACAAAGCGATAAATCTACGTTGTTATCCACTCTGTTATCATTTTCTATTATTATAAAATGCCTATAATGAAACATAAGAGGCTGACTTGTTTCGCTTTTCAGCTGTATGTTTGCAAACTCAATTATAAACCTGCTCAGTGTTTACTTTTTAAATCAACTATAAACTGGACATATCCCTACCTTTTGATCCAAGTGTAAACTGGGTTCATGTTTATCTATCTATTAATTCATTGCAAATTTTGGTCTATTAGACTTATACTTGGAGTAGAATAATCCAAAGTTGACATGTCATAATATTAAACACCCTAGCCTAATCTAACTATTGGTTAACCATTATAGTTCTAATTAAGCAATAATATTATATTTTCTTCTTTATCTGAACTTGTGTTCCCTTTGTAGGAGAGACCAGCATTAGTGTTGTATACCCACTCATTCTGGGGGTGTCTTGGTTGATGTGGTTGATTCCATAACGTTATATCTTTTCTCGCTCATCTTATCCCAGCCAGGTGTTGAAATGTTTTTGGAGACTGGAGATGAAAAGCCATCAACAAAAGGGATTTTAAACTTATCTATTTTATTAAACATGTCTACATTCTTTAACATGTAAAACTTAAGTCTGCGGAATCACTTTCTAATTCAAACATTCATACACTAGTTTTAATCAATCAAAAACTACTTCCTCTGTTTTCCTGTATCTGACCTCAAAGGTCAAAATGAGGAAGTCAGAGGAAAATACAAATATCAAAAAATCTGCTAAACTGTTATTTAACATCCCTTACCCAACCATAAAAAAAAATTAATTTATGAATTTTATTTCAACTACATATTATATTTAACATTATATCTGATGTGCTTAGACTGACTTGGCCATGGAAAGAGTTGCCAATTAAGAAAGGCTGAATAGTGCCTTATAAGAGTAAATCCTTCCCATGAAGTTTCAAGAATCTGGTAAGGCACTTATAAAAATATCAAGGCTGGTAGATGAAAATAAATAAATAAACTGTATAATAAATATACAGCATGTCTTCTATAAATAACATTTAAAGTGATAAAATCTGTTGGATTATTAAATAAAAAAATCCATTATTTCTTTAGAAATTACTTTGTTTACATTAGAATATACAATGAGATACATAATTGACCAGACTGAGATAAATATAGATAGATAGATAGATAATGATGAGACTGAGATAGATAGATAGATAGATAGATAGATAGATAGATAATGAAGAGACTGAGATAGATGAAGAGACAGATAATGATGAGACTGAAATTGATAATGATGAGACTGATATAGATAATAAAGAGTTTGAGATAGATAGATACATAGATAATGAAGAAAAAGATTAGGGAAATTAATTATAATTAGCTCCAAAATTATTTCCTTCTGGATTGACTAAAAACTACAAATTATTTACCTTTTTCCCACTGCATTTCTGCAGAGAGTATTCTGGAAATATGTTAATGACTAACATTTTTTAGTTCATTTCAACAATGACCTGATCTTTGGCAAGAAACTCAAGCTACAATGAGCCAGGTCTGTTGAATTAGGTGAGTGCTCTAGCATAGTGATGTCTTTATAAGCTAAAAGCTACTTGATTCATTGTTTTTTTTTTTTTTGCTTACCGCCACATTACATTGAAACACCAGTTCCTGTACAATTGCCAAAATTAAGCAATGTTGAGCTTGGTCAATACCAAGATGGATGACAGCTTGGGAATACCAGCTGCTGTAAGCTTGGATGTCCAAGTGGTATAGATCACTTACATCCATATCACATAGTGTTGAAACTTGACTAATGCATGGAATAATAATACAACACAAAATGTACTTAGAACAAAATGTATTGAAACAAGAAAGTGTACACAATATTTACATATAGTCTTTTGTATATTCTTGGGAAGACCGTTCCTGGAGAATGTGTTGACTTAGTCGCAGTCGGGCAGAGTCTCTGGATTGAATCTCTTGATTCCTCCCTCCGTCTTCCCGGTACCAACCATATTTATATGGTCGGTACTCCACTATGCAAATTAGGTGGATCCTACCACACATAGAAACACCGGTTCTTGTATGGCCACTGAAGTTAAGCAGTTTTGAACCTGGTCAGTACTGAAATGTGTGACCACTTGGGAATACCGGGTGCTGTAAGCTGGGATGTGCAGGTGGTGTAATGGATAAAACATAATTTGCCTTCACTTTTTGAGGAAGCATTGCTGTTATTCATTTTTTATCTTTGTTTGTTTGGGTTTTATAGCATATCAACCACTGTGGGTTATTTAATGCCAAATCCAGTTTATATATATATGCCAAATATATGAATTTTAAATGCCTATTTCGTATGGAACATTTTTAGCAAGCTAGAGCTTATTTGCTTGCACACTGCAAAATAATCCTAGGTATTTTTGTTTAAGTCAAAAATTTCCATTTGATAAGGACAATTTATTTGCAAAATGGTAAAAGGTAGGATATGTTGTTTATCCATCAGTCTACATCTTTGATAAGAGACCAATTCTTTTTAGAAAATCCAATATATTTTTTGGTTCAGTTTTTGCAATAATTTCTTCATGTTCTTCGTGTTATAGAAATTTCTACGGATGTGTGTGAGGTTTGTACATTCTATTAGTATATGTTTTACAGTGTATTGTTTTCCACAGGAACATTTAGTAGGAGGTTCTTGTTTTAGTACGAAAGAGTGAGTCAGTCTTGTGTGTCCAATGTGTAGTCGGTCAATGGTGGTTTGTTCTTTTCTTGTTTTAAGATTCAGTTGCCTTTCCTTTAGAATTGGTGCTATTTGGTAGAGTTTATTGTTGGTATTTTTGTCCCATAGTTGTTGCCATTTTAGTGTTATTGTTGTCTTGATTTTATGTTTTAGGTCAGTGTATGGGATTTTGATGTCTTGGTCGGGTGTCATGTTGAGAGCAGCTTTGGCTAAGGAATCAGCTTTCTTATTTCCCTGGATTCCAATATGGCTTGGGATCAAGCTATTCAGTTTTTCTTTTATATGGTGATAAAAGAAAATTAGTTGAAAATTAATAATTTCTTCAGTTGATACAGTATTTATTCAAAAGGTTTATAAATTAAAAATAGAACAAACAGACACACACTGTTGTAAGCTTGGATGTGCAGGTGGTGTAATAGATAATGACTTTGAATTGTTAATTGGAGAGCTGAGTTCCAATTCCTGCTGAGTTCATTATTTTTGCTTATGTGCAAATATCCTTGGTAAAGATATGAATCCACCACTTCTTCCCCCAGCTATGGGTTAATTAGTAAGACTTCTATTGCTAAACCATTATTATCTCAAAAAAAATTTCTACAATGTAAAAATATTTCCTGCTTTTAAATAACCTGCAAAGGGTTGATAAGCCGTTAAAATTACAAATCAATCAATCAATTTATTGCTTTCCAGAAAACTCTGATCTTCAAAAATCTAAATGCAATTGCAACTTGTTGTATCCTTAAAGAGATTACAAACAGACAAAGGTGGTACTTGAGTGAAAGGAACAGCAACATGGGCATAGATGAAAGAAAGAGAGGTTTAGTGTAAAAGAGAATACGCTACTGAAAGACAGTAAATCAGTTAGCAAGCTAGTAATTCCTGAAGCAAAGATATTTACCTTATCTCCCCACAAGGCAGTATGTGGCACAAGGCCGTTTTTTAATGCAGGACAAAACTGAGCTTGTATGTTCAGGCAAAAATTCCCTGTAGACCCTGTATACATGGGGTCGGGTAACTGTCTACCACCCCAGACAAGACTCTGCCCTTCAGCATAAACTCATCTGGGTTCCTCTCTGCCTTTTGGCAGAGAGTTTGACCAGTTCAGCTGGAGACAAATCTCCAACTAATTGCTGAAGCAAGGATATTTTCCAACCGCCCCACACGGTCAGATGTGGCACAAGGCCAAATTTAATGTGGGGTATCCGAGCCCGTAGGCTTGGGCAAAAATTCCCTGTAGACCCAGTTAAAAATGGGGTCGGGTAGCTGTCTATCACCCCAGACGAGACACTTCCCTTCGGCGTAGCCTTGTCTGGGTTTGACTAGCTTAGCTAGAGACGAATCTCCAACTAATTGCTGAAACAAGTCCACCAGGTATATCCTGTGCTCACTATATATATCTACTGATATAGTCAGTCCACATATGTGATAGGGAATGTGAGACATTCCATTACAATACAATTGTTATCTTCTGTCTTCTTAATTCTTGTCCATTTATTGTTCTTGCTCTTTAAAAGTACTTTTTTTCTCATATTCTATGACACTCAGTAATGCTTTGCATCTCAGTGGCTTTATTGCCTTGCTTGGAGTGAAAGGATTAAATAAAAAGTTTACAAAATGGTTGTTTTTTTGAATGGGAGAAAGAAGCATACATAATTTTTTAAAAAAGTTAACTTCCTGTTGTTTCTTTCTTGTTTAACCTCTTAAATATGCAATGGCATTAACCTTACAAAGTGCCAAGTAAATATCCTAGAGTTATTTAGCACATACCTAGAATGAAAATGAGATACTGCTATAAATAAATAAAAAGAAACTGTAATGATTTCTTGAAATAGAAAAGAAACAATGACAAAACGAAAAGAGAAAAAATAAATGATGGTCATTTAGAAAAAAACAAAATATCCCTGTCATTTTTGTGCCAACAAACTCCATCTTGAATTTTTCTCTGTCTGTAACTCTCAACCATTTTTGTTCATACTTGTTTCCATCTGATGATACTTGGCCTATTTTATTTCCAGACATTTTTTCTGTTTTCTTTTTTGTTCTTTATAGACAAGAAGCTTTCTTCTGATTGTGTAGATAAACCCAGAATAAAAAAAATAGTCATTCAAACTTTGCAAAAATAAATGGTCCCCCAAAATTCTCTTAACAAATCAGCAGTTTTTTATCTTATATAATAAATAACAATTTTTTAATGCCATGTTTGTTCAGGACATAGGTGATCATGGCTACTTTTTTTATTATCTATGAATTGCTATGACTTCTTGGGAGAGATAGTGAAATTGTTTTATTTCCCATTATCTTCTCCAGAGTAATTCATAGTTTTCTTTCTCCTAGACTGGCTACCACCCAAGGTTAGAAAGCCCAGTCTATTCTGCTAATTTTTTTCTGGAATTTTAATGCAAATTTATTGTGAAAAACTTCTTATATACTCAAATGAATCTTTGGGAAAAATCAAATTATTTTTTTTAAATTCATGCATTATCAGTTGAACATGACATGTTCAGTCTTTAGTGCCAAATCTCTGTTGCTTTGATATGGATTCAATTCAGTCTTAATGTTAATAATAATATTAGACATTTCCCTATAAGGAAACATTTGGCATTTATTGACCAAGCAGCCAGTACTGTTTTCAATTTAAATTTATAAAATCTTTCTCTTAAAACAAATTTTTCAGGAAAACAGGTTTCTAAAGTGCAGTAACTGTTATAACTCTTTCCAGCATTGATGGCGGTTTCCTTCCTAACCTTTTTAACATTTTCAATAGTGTCTTTCAAAATTTCTTCTTTTGGAGTGGTTCATCTTCCAGAGCAAGCTTTGCTGGCTATGTCACAATTGCTATTTTTAAAACTTTCAAATCACACCTGATATGTACAAGCCTTCACTGAATCTGTATACACTGCACAAATGTTTTTTAAATACCTCTATAGAAGTACTACTCTTTTAGAATTCATACAATGAGCAATGGAAAATATGTTGTGTTTTAGTTATAATCTTCAATGGGGTTAAACTCTGAAATTCACTATAAAAAAATAGACTGTTGGATACAAGAGCATATAGGAATTACATTCTATATATATTTTTCAACCAATAAAATCCCATCAGAAGGTTTCTTTGATAAACAGCAAATACTGCCAAAATACTTGTGGATGTGGTTGTAGACCTACCATGTGTTATTTTTGGACTATTTAGAAAATAATAATAATAATTCCTTTCACCACTTCTGCAAATTCAAGAAAAAATTTTCACAAACTAGTGTGAAATTATTTTCTAACTAGTGAAAATCTTGTATTCAAAATGTTTACACCTCTATGTGAAATTAGATTTTGGCTCACCCTTCTGGATATAAAAATAGAAGAATCCTGCTTCTCAGGGTTCAAAACAATTTTGGAGGCCAGTTTGAACTACATGTATGTACACACACACACACACACATCCACATCCCAGACAACAGCCAGTAGCCACCAACTAATGCCTTGTCCAAGCACTAACAGAAACATTAAACTGACCATTATAAAGTAAATCTGTGCACACCGTACTACAAACACTAAATTACTGTATAAAACAAACTTCACTGGAAGGAAAATTGAACATTTTATTGTTATTGGATATTTCTGAAAAGAATATATAAATATTTGACATTTCACCTCTACTTTTCCTTCAGAAAATGACTTTTTTATGTTTCATTTAAAAAATTTGTTGTTGTAATCAAATGTTTAGAATCCTGACACTCAGATAACAACAAAAACCTGTGTAGACAGATCCAAACAAGCAGCTAAACTAATTCTAGACACAATTTTGAACCATTCAACCTTGGTTCTACCTTGGTCATTGACTTATAATTCATCATGTTAATATATGTAGATACTTCCTGAACACCATAATCTATATTATAAAAGAGGTCATTCTCTGTCCATCACATGCTATCTGTGTGTGACTTTGCATGTGCATATGTAATGTATATGCATATGTTTGTATTGTGAAATTAATGTATCTGCATGCACACACACACACACACACACAATTTGACTGAATTTGAGATAAAATATTGGATTAAAAATGAAAAACCAAAGAAAGAAATGAATAGATTGTGCTCAAAGAAAGAAAGAAAGAACTGAATAGATTGTGGTCAAAGAAAGAAAGGAAGAAAGAATAGTGCCCAAAGAAATAAATAAATGAGGAGACTGTGCTCAAAGAAAGAAAGAAAACTGAAGAGATTGTGCTAAAATGAGAAACAAATGAAGAGATTATGCTCAAAAAAAGAAATAAATAAAGAGATTGTGCTCAAAAAAGAAAGAAAGAAATGAAGAGATTGTGCTAAAAAAAGAAAGAAAGAAGAAGATTGTGCCCAAAAAAGAAAGAAAGAAATGAAGAGATTGTGCCCCCAAAAAAAGAAAAAGAAATGACGAGATTGTGCTAAAAAAAGTAAGAAAAAACAAAGAGATTTTGCTCAAAGAAAGAAAAAAAGAAAAACATATCAACTGCTTTATGTCTGTCAAACTGTCTCTTTGCTTACATGTGTGTATGGCTGGGAAATAATAAAACTAATCATCTTTTTTTTCTTTTAACTACCAATAAATTGTATTTTTTTATCATTTTACCCCAAACAAGGCAATAAAGTCATTAAGATGCAAGAGCTTACTGAGACTGAAAGGAATAAAGAGAACAGTAAAAGAACAGGATTCAAGGAGGCAGAAGATGATGATTGACATTACATTTCAATTTTTGTAGATTCTAGTTGACAGAAAATCAGGAGGCCAGAAGAGAATCCCACAGGTGAGAAAAATTTATTGATAATCAGGTTTCTATCTATTGATATCAGTCTGTTCATGTCTATATACTGATATGTCTATTCATACCTATCTGCTTAAATCTATTTGTATCTAACATATATCAATATCAGTCTATTCAGATTTATTTTTGGTACCTACAACTCAACAGCATAGAGATAACCATGTTTTATCACTTTAAATGTTATTTTTAGTCGATACTCACAACTGAATAGACGCTTTGTTTATTTATTCAATAGTATATTTACTTATTTCCATCTACCAGCCTGAATATTTGAGAAATCATATTAATGGAAAACATGTGCTCTCCAGCAGGATACAAACCTGTGTCCCCTTAAAAAGAGAGAACTATCATTAGATTGAACATGCTTTAACTGACTCAGCCATGGAGAACTTTTGCCAATCAAAACTGGATAGTGCATTTTAGTGAAATCCTTCTCATCATAGACTCTCATATCTACTCAGTTTCATATGCAAACATAAAGCATTTTCTAACAGATTTTTCATTTATTAATCTGACAGGTTTTATCACTTTGAGCATTATTTTTAGTCAATACTTATATTTGAGTAGATGCTCTGTTTATTTATTAAACGGCATATTTATTTGGTTCCATCTACAACCCAGTTAAAGTATGTCAGATCTAGCAACGGTTCCCTCTTCCCAAGGAGATACAGGTTCAAATCCTGCTAGGGAGTGCATATTTTTCTTTAATAAGATTTCTTGAATATTCAGGCCTGATTAGTTCTTTCGTAATGAGAAGAGTGAACCAGCTTGTTGTACTTTCTGGTGTAAGGGTAGAAAGATCTGACACCAAAACACTCTTTTTCTACACTCACTACATTCCCTGACCACTTATCAACCTCAATATAAATGGTGGTACTGTTCAGGACTATAAAAGGAAAGAAATCACTCCCTCTTTCTCTTTTTTGCTCACTCAGAAACAGTGAGTGGTAGGTAGCAGACTTGTCTCGTCTTCTCCTTTGGTTGTGCCTTATTTGCCTTCACCCAGCCATACATTTTCTAACAGCATATATACATACATACATAGCCATGAATCTTTTGTTATAATGATTTAAGGCAAGACTTTACAAGGCTGGATGCTCTTCCTGACACCCAACTCAGGCATGCACGGTAGTCCAATTACATTGAGTGTTTTTTACCGAGATACCATCTCTAGGAAGGTTGGCATTCAAGGTTTGAGACCTCATCCTAGCTATATATATATATATATATATATATATATATATATATATATATATATATATATCCAAAGGTACCACACACTGGGATCAACTCCCTGAGACCAATAACATCAAGAAATCACCTTCTTGACAAGTCACCCATGCATTCAGCACCTTTGGAAAGTGGCTTAAAACCAAACTACTTGTGACTGAAATTTGGTAGATGGAACTCCTTGAGCACTAATGGTTGTGCTAACATGAAGTCACAAGTCATCATGACCAAGGTTTTGCATGTTCTGGCCTTATTCAGACTGTGGATCATACTCGATAATGCGGTCTCTTCCAGAAACTGTAACTACAGTCTGTTCCCATGGTACAATACAGGCTAGACACCAGCATCATTTTACGATTAATGTGTGGTCTGGAATTGTAGGTGACTGCCTAGTAGGTCTATATGTTCTCCCAGTATATCTTACAGAAGCTGTCTACAAGGATTTTATTTTGAAGACACTTAGAGACCTGCTACAGGATGTACCTCCGCTAATACGAAGATGGATATGGTTCATGTATGATGGGGCTCCAGCATATTTTAGTCACATTGTTCGCAATGCACTGGCAGACATCTACTATGAAAGATGGATAGATAGGAAATGACTGGTTCCATGGCCTGCCCATTCACCTGATCTCAATCCTTTGGATTTTTATCTTTGGGGCCACCTAAAACAATTGGTTGATGCAGCAGACATTAATAATGCAGAGATGCTTCATCAACTTGTCATGGGGGCTTGTGAAACCATTCAACATGATGTGGGAATTTCTGAAAGGGTCTGCCAGTCAATGAACCAACAGATGCATGCATGAGTAGAAACAAGTGGAGGACATTTTTGAACATTTGTTATGAGTTGATGTGTTGAGGTACAATGATGGCATTTTGGACATATGTTGATATGGACATTTTATCTTGTTTTAGTGTCAGAAACCTGTCCCCAAAGTTTGCAAAAGAATTTTTGATACAACCTTGCATATGAAAAAATTCCTCTATGTGTTGAATTCATTTCTTTTGGCATTTTGAATTGATTTTTCTATAAGTAGTTATAACTACACCCGTAACAAACTGGTGATTTTAAAAAACCTTATCTAATTTTTTAAAAATTATTTTCACCCCAAGCAAGGCAATAAAGCTACTAACACACAAGAGGTCACTAAGTATTAAAGAATATGAGAAAAAAAAAAGAACACTATTAAGGAGAGAGAACAATAAAAGAACAGAAATTAAGAAGACAGAAGATAACAATTGACATTGCATTTAAATGACTGGGAAGCAAAAAGCCAGAAGAGAGTTCCACAAACAAGAATTTTAATAGAAGACACTATTAGTATAGAACTTATGGTTACATCTAGCAATTTCAACTGTAAAATGATGAGACCTAGACACCAATCAAGTACTGCACTTAAATTCATAAAGTCTAGGTACTGTAGAGGAAATTTCATCAGAACAATTACCATAGAAGTATTTATAGAAAAGGCATAGAGGGGATACATTATGGTGATGGGAAAGTGACAAGATGCCAGGTCAGGATCAATAACATTGCAGATTCTCCTTTGATTTTTATTAAAAATCTCTAAATATATAGCAAGAACACCAGACCATATATGGTAGCAATATTCAAAGTGTGGGTGAATGATAGACTTTTACCTATGTAAGATAAGTTCAATAATAATGAATAATAATTCAATAATAACAGAAGCACTAATTCTTACATCATCTCCAAATCGCTACATAAAAGCTTTCATGTTTTAATATTATGATTGTATTTCTCCAGGTGATAGTAAGTAACTAGTGATAAAATTAGTTACTTACCATTGCCTGAAGAAATATAATCATAGTATTAAAACATGAAAGCTTTTGTGTAGCAATTTCATATGTTTTATTATAATTCTAATAAATATAATATATATATATATATATATATATATATATATATATATATATATAATAATGGACTCTCCATCGGTTTTAATGCATGAGGATCTGCCAGCTTATTGATTCAGTTATGAAAGTTTATGCGCTAATCTTAAGTGACATTTAAGACCCACTAGTGATTTATAAAGGAGGTCGCATATGGAGTTAGATTGGTTGACCTTTTAAATCTTGCTCTCGCTTCTTGAAGATGATTCAGACAAGCAGATTGAAAATTGCTGAGTCCACTAAAACACATTGATCTGCATTCTACCCGCTCCAAAGCTAAGCGCTCAAGGGTGTTATGTGGTATATTAACTGCTGACAAGTTGCTTTTCAGCTTGTCTTTGTATCTTAGCCATGGGCGTCCTACATTCCTGTAGCCTTGATCTAACTGGCTGTACATTAGGATCTTGGGTATCCTGTCATCAGACATTCTCAAGACATGACCAGTCCACCGTAACTGAGACTGTATGATAAAAGTCTTGATTCCTCCAATATTGCCCTATTAAACAGGTCTACATTAGATGTCCTATCTTGAAGCTTAACTCCACAGATTGCACGCAGGCAGCTTTTATGGTAAACATCTAGCTGGCATATATGGTACCTGTATGGAGTCCATGACTCTGAGCCATACAAAAGGAGATATATATATATATATATATATATATATATATATATATATATATAATAAACAGTACTTAAATGTCACTGCTGTTTGCAAGTAAAAAAATCCCATGGACAGAAAGGTTGTAATGTTACTGTCACACAATACTCACATGCCAAAAACTATCATTTTTAAATTATTATTTTAGTCCAAAGTTATTTTTAGTAAATGAAAAAGTAACAAAATTTAACATTTATGATACCAATAATAACTAAATCCCCATCTTACAAACATTTCCCTTAATAATTTAGAAATAATTCTATAGATTGTGTCAAAATTTCATATAGAGTATATCTGTGAAGGGAGAATATGAATAAAGACAAAAGGAAAACATATCTTAGCTGACATATTTCATCCTCTGAGAGACTTTATCAAGGCAAATGTAAGGATTTTATTTTGTGACAAGTATTTATATATATATATATATATATATATATATATATATATATATATATATAAAAAAAACTCCTACTCACTTTTGTTTATTAGACATTGAACTGTATCATCTTACACCCATTACTTGCCTGACTTTTCCACTAACCTGATGAATATTCATGAGCACCCCTACACCAAAAATTTTGAAAAACCATTAACATTTGTGTCAGAAGCAAAAATCCTTACATTTGCCTTGATAAAGTCTTTCAAGGGATGAAATGTGTTGGCTAAGATAGGTTTTCTTTTGTCTTTATTCATTATATAGATTATAAGCACTATTTACATTATTCGGACTATTTTCCTCGTCTTTGTCACCATATTTATTGCAACATTTCAGCAGTGGAGAACTTGGAGAGGGGAATTAACAGGAGATAACTGATAA